ATATTGATTCAGGCTAATAGAATATTTTCAATTTCATAATTTTTAGATTGTTCAGAGTAAGTTATTTTATAAATCGGGTGGGATGATTTGAAAATACCGCCATGTCAATCGAAAGAGAGATCGTAGCGCCAGAGCCAGAACGGCGAATGCCAGTACTATTTGATTGTTTACATTTTACATTGTTTGGTTTTGGTGATGGTGTTTATTGAGAGGTGTATTTATGCTAATTTCGTTTTGAGTTCTCAATCATTCTCAGCTTTGATATTTGTGTATTTTTTAAATCCGTGTTTTCCAGTGGTTCATTGTGTTTTGATTGAGGACAATAATAACTCTGATGTTTTAACAGTAGAACACCTACCTACCTCTAGTTAGAATGTTGAACCTAAAACCTATACCAACATAATGATAAGCTGTAAGTTTTTATCATTATTGAACAAGAATTCTTATGATTTGGCCATTTAGCCTTGGCATTTCAATCTGTCTACACTTTTTCAGTGATTCAGTGTCTCCAAAATGAAGCTGAGCTCATAAATGCGGGCTACCTGGTTTTGGCTGGTCAAATGGATGCAAATGAATGCATTGAAGTATAATAAGTATTATGCCTTATTATGTTTACAGTCCACTGTGTGTCAGGTAAGAAGAACTCTCCCTAATAATGATATTGGTAAACTCCTGAAACTCAACTCTATATCATTGTTTTCAGGAAGAATGTGGGATCTTCCAGAGATATAAATATGCTTGGTTGACACAAAAAGCAATCAACAAAGGGACTAATACAATCAGTATTCCTGTAGATGAGATGCCCTGTTTTAAGAAAAAAATGAAGAGACCAGTTATATGAAACATAATGAATATTCTCAATTTTCCTATCACAAACAGGGTGGACGAGCAACTTCTTTTCTGGAAATGTCAAACCTGTCCTTGGTAGTTGTACTTTTCAAATAAATGTCACAAAGATCACAACTATTTATTTGTGTTGTATGTACCTACATGTTTGCTTCATAACTGGCACTTTGACTTGAAAAACAAGGAATGAAAACAGTTATTGAATTATACTTTTGACATCCAAATACTTCAAATTCCACTTTAATTAATCTCCAGAGGAACCTTGAAATCCATTCAGAAATGAGGTCTTTCTCATGTCTTTTCTATGCCTTTATAAGACTCAGAAGAGACATTATAAAGATATCTTAAAGACGTCGTGATTTTTAACATCCGGCCTATAGAGGACGTCTTTCAGACGTCTCTAAGGCGTTGTGAACGTCTGAGAACGATGTCTTTACGATGTCTTAAAGATGTCTTTGTGCTATCTGGGGAGGGGGGAGGCGAACTACAAAATGTTGGACCTGTCTCCGGTTTTTTCTCATCAACTTTTTTCCTTTCGTCTTACGTCAAAAATAATCTCATTCTTTATTGTAGAGCGTTAAATTTCTTACAATTTCGAACATTTGTGTAGGTTAATTCATTATCGAGATATGACGCTTTGAAATGAAGGTCATTTCTGCGAATTCGCTAAATAATGACAAATATTGCAGAATTATGCCTTAAAATAAAAAATGAACTCTTAAAACAAACTGACCAGATAAAATATCTTGGTATTTGGTTTGATGACAGGTTGAAGTGGGACAAACATATTGATGTTTTGACAAAGAAAATATCTCCAATTATTGGTGCATTGAGAAGATGTCCCAAACTTGATATTAAAATTGCAAACATGATTCTCTACTCTACTATACTGAGTCGTATCAACTATTTAATAAATGTTTAGGGATCTTCTTGAAAAAATAATTTCAATAAAATATCAATATTATATAGAAAATCGTTAAAAGTACTGTATCGTCTCCACTCTTAAAATTTCATACAATATCATGAATGCAAAATTGAAGTCGAATATTATTTTGATACGGAATTCTGAAATGCATAACATGTAAACAATATAACTTGTTTCATCTTGACGCCATTAGCTCCATAGTCGGACAAAAAAGATTCACTCATTCAGTCTTAACTGAATTCAATAAACTTCCTGGCAATATCAAAAATTGCAGAAATATAGGTACATTCAAATATGAAGTAAAGAAACTGATTATATCTGAGCGAACTGGATAAAATTGATCATGTTTTTTCTACAAATATTATTCTTTGTTTGCCAATTTATAGTTGTAAATATATTTTGAATGATGAAATGTTTACCTATAGGTATATAATTATGTACTTCCTTATACCAGAGCCTATTCTGTCAGGAAGTTATTTGTTCAATAAATAAATAAAAATGAATAAATAAAATTACCGTATAGACTAATAAAATCGAATTATTGCATAGATGTCGGGAGGATGTAAAACAATGTTCTGCGTGGCATATAGCCCAGAAAGTAGTTGTTTTTCTCTCGTTATCTACCATTTTCGTTCATTTTATGAACTATTGTGGTAATGACTTTGAGTTTCTCTCTTTGTGAATATCTTTATTCCTGAATACAATGTATTCCTTGTGAATAACGAGAGGGACGTTCTTTTATTCACCGGTGGTTCCGTCAATCCACCAACTGTGTTCATATATTCTTTGGTGGATTCCAGTTTGACGTAACCGTAACCACAAGTTCATTTTTTTATTGTTGTTGTGTCGACCAAAATTGCACACCATTCCACCGATGTACAGAGATGGTGAATGAGTTTTGATGGCTTTCGAAATGACAGCGATAGCATAACCTCAAAATATTGAAAACAAAATGTTGGATTTGAAAGCTGATTGTCATTTGCCTAAGAAAAAATATGGATGAATTAATCGAAATCAGTTTAGAATATGAAAATGAAACAATAGCTGCATTATTGACACCAACAGAAATTTAAGAAATTTCGAGTTAGGTAGTTTTTTCATTCCCATCATGAATTTCAAGAAATTAGTGCAAACATTCAGGAAACTTCAGTAGGTACCAACAGAAAATTCTTATTAATGACTCTATCCATATCATCATACTTTAATGTAATGTTTTGTATATAGCTTGTTGAGAATCTATCTCGTCTTACTCCCCAACATAAACACAATAATTCATCCTCGGAGCTATCAGAAGAACTGTTAGAACTTTTGGATCTGGAGACATAGACTCCAATAACACTTCAATACATAATTTTCAATTTTACATTAGTCATGTCATGACAAATAACTGCGTGTTTTTTTCAACACTGATGACTCCAACAATGGGGAAGTTTCCTGTATTGAGGTTTTTATCTCACTGTGAAGTTTGTAAAAAACTAATATATAAGTATTCTTTCTTATTTTTTGTAAGATCAAATTCCACTTAAGAAAAAAATAAATCATTATCAATATGTCTAGATTTCCAGAAATTGTTCTTTGAATGCATAATAACTATATCATAACAGCAATGGGATATTAATGGGTTCTTCAAACCTACTATGTGAAGTATTTTGAATAATTCCCATGAATCTCTCATTGGCTCAATGCCAATAATCCCATTAGTGCCATCAGCTTGTGTACTGTTTACTGATAAGAGTGATGTTATTAAATTTCTTGACATTAATTGTCAATATTCCATCGAAAACGCTAATAACGCCGGCTGTAGATGATCTTTTGGCAGTTATTTTGCTCTATTCAGATGGAAAAAGCCGACCAGTAGTGGAAGGAGAAGCAGTTCTCTGTGCTAATCATGTGATTTTGTGTGAGGCAGAGAGAACAAAAGGCACATTTTTGCACTTCGTCTACAAACTTCGGCGATGAAATCTTACCCACATGAAGTAAAATTGAAGTTGGGGTCCAGAGGAACTCCTGTAGAACAATGGATTTGTATTTGTTCCTGCAAAGCAGGACAATCTGGGTATTGTAAACATGTTGTAGCTGTTCTTTTATATGTCAATTAGTCATAATTAGTTTGAATTGTTTGAACTATCTCCAATTCTTTACCCGTTCACTGTTCACTAAACTAATAAAATTGTAATAATGTAAAAAAATTAACCAACTCAACCATCATCACTACATGCAATGTAGTCTATGCACTTTATCCATGGACAACAGTTTGTTTTCCCCCAGTTTGAAGTTCGTATTATGTAACCTAGATGTCGCCCACTTCGTGAATCTCTAGAATATTCTTCACCATCAGCGATTTTCAGATTAGATTCAAAATGTACGTCACAGTTCGCCGCCCCGAAAATTAGAAATTGCTTTAATTTGAAAATGAAAACGACTTGGACTTTATCCGTCGCCATATTGTACAGCGTGGACATAAAACTGAGAGTTCCGATCTTGATTTATGAAAATTCATCTGAGGGAAACTTTCCGTGCATCAGAGGGTGACGTCATTTCCAACAATGATAAGAATGTGGTGTAAAAAAGAACATACCATTAATATTGTTGATTACTTTTTTTTAACGAATGGAGATAGAATATCGATCCGAGTCGTAACTAATGACAATACCAACTTTGTGTTAATATGATGAGTTTTCATCAGAGAAGAAAATTAGCTTTGGTGAATTGCGGTTCAGTGGGGTAAGGGGGAAGCGTTGGCGGGGAGGATGGTGGTGTTCAAGGTTAGTGATTTTAACCAACAACCATAATTAAAACAACATTTCATCATATTTCGGAGGACATATCAGACAAAATAAGATAGAAATCTCCAATAATTTGTAATTTTTCGAAGCGCCATATCTTGATTATGGAATAACCTACACAAATGTTCAAGCATCAAAATTACAAAAAAGTACGAGATCATTTTTGACGGAAGTAAAAAAAGTTATTGAGGAAAATCCGGAGAAAGGTCGAACATTTTGCAGTTTGCCTCCCTCTCCCTTGAGAAAATGTTAATTAACCATCCCTGTACAAACCCCCGAAATTTCATCATATTCCAACCTTTCCTCATTTGTAAATACCTGTCTACTAGACTGGACTGTACATACAAAAAAAGAGCCGAACGATTCGTGGTCCGTCCCACGCGTTTCGAACCGCACATTCGCCGCACTCTCATTCGGCCGTCAGACGGCCAGAGTGCCCACACCTACCCTACACGGATATCTCGTAGTTCGTGTCGTAGACGCTGGCGCGGTCGGGCGGGCTCGGCTGCGGGTGGGGCGGCCCCGCTCGCCCCGCCCCCTGCTGCTTGGGGCAGTCCGACGGCTGGGCGGCCGCGTCGGTCATCTCGAGGGCGCGCACGAACGACATGGGGCGGCGGACGGTGGGCGTGCTGCCGCCCAAGGGTTTGCGGTGCACCTGCAAACCGGCCCAAAGTGAATTTGACAGCAAAAATAATAATAATAATAAGCATTTATCACGCTATTCGGAAACAGCGATATATATTGGATCTTTCTTTCATTTTATTCAGACCAGGGAAGGGTCCCTCTTATCCTGATATCTATTATGGAACAAAATAAAAACGGTATTGAAGTTTTATGCGAACAGCCCTTCTGCCCCAAATAAGTTTCAGAAATACATTCTAAGAATTGAAAGAGATCGAACGGAAAAAATAAATATCAAAAACTTGAGAATAGTAAATTTGGTCATAATGTCGATATTTTCTCTAGTTTATGGACAATCTCGGTCTTTTGAACTTTGATTGATCACCTGGGTCATAATCAACTGCATTTCGAAGAAGCTGATTCTCATGAACTTCAGCTTTTTCGAAAGTCTTGATGTTTCGTTCTTTAATGACTGACACGATTGAAGGGAGTTTCAGATCCCTGGCGATCTGGTTATTCCGAACATACCAAGGAGATCCTGTCACCATTCTCGCGACTTTGTTTTGTAATGTTTGTAATCTGGTGATATGAGATTTAGCTGTGTGGCCCCAGACTACTGAGGCATACAGTAAAATTGGCCTGATAGCCATGATATAAATATTCAATTTTTGTTTCAAACCCAATTTACTTCGCCTGTTTAGAAATGGATACAGGGCTCCAATGGCTCGTTTAGCTTTAGAAACTTGCTGTTCAATGTGCTGGGCCCAGGTGAGCTTTTTGTCAATGCACACACCTAGGTATTTAACTTGTGAAGACCACTCTAACTCATGACCATCCAGGACTATTCTGGTTCTGGGAGGCCTCCGCTCCCTTCCGAGTGCGACCAATTGTGTTTTTGTAGGATTCAATTTGATCTTCCATCTTAGGAAGTACTCCTGAAGAGAATTCAGTGCGCTTTGGAGGTTCATAGCTGCTTGCTCGAAATTTGTCGAATATGCAAGAACTGCCGTATCATCAGCAAAAAGCGACATCTTGCACATCACTGGTCTTGGCAAATCGCTAGTATATAAACTGTACAACAGCGGAGATAAAACTGCACCCTGAGGAACACCAGCTTCAATGGGCTTGATACCAGATCGTTGATCATCAAGTCTTACTTGAAAAGTTCGATTTTTCAGAAATGAACACATCAACTGAATCAAATCGTCAGGAAAGCCCACATCGATCATTTTGTATAAGATACCATCATGCCACACCTTGTCAAATGCTTTCGCTATGTCAAGGAGAGCAAGATGGGTCTTTTGTCTATCATTTCTCAACGATATTGTGTTCTCAATGAGTCTCAAGACTTGTAGTTCAGTTGAGTGGCCAGTTCTGAAACCGAACTGCTCATCTGGTATAAGCTCGTTGTCGTCGATAAATTCCTGTAATCTCTGTTTAATCACTCGCTCAGTTATCTTAGATGGAGAGCACAGGAGACTGATAGGACGATAGCTCTGCGGAGAAACAGCGATAATGGCTTATTTCAGCACTATTGCAGAAAGAGGCCTCATAGCAAGTTTGTGGCCGAAATATTCGATGCTCAAATCAACTTTTAGGGTGAAAGAAAACATTGATATAAGTAAATACAATAAATTGATTATGTTCATCAAGAGACAAAAGAGTGGGATATGTTCCGAAAAAGTCCAAAGTCCTGGAAAATGAACACATACATAAATTTATCGCTAGTGCTCCCAACAACATATTCCTAATGACGAAGGTAAATATAAATGAAAAGTTAATGAAACTACTTAATTTCATTAGAAATAGAGAATTCAGTATACTGTTCAATATTAGAAATACGTGTACGTCATTTACGCGAGCGAGATAGCTCAGTAGTATTATGAGAGGTCGAGGGTTCAATTCCTCGCGGCAGCATACTTTTTTTTATATTCTTTGTCAACTTTCTTTTTTTTTTAATTACGTTATAAAATATCACAAGATGAATTGTTGTTTACAAAAAATATCTATCATTTCATTATGTAGGTGGCATTGATTTTCGGAGTGGCTGGCGCATTGAGAAAGGACTGTTTTAATTACAAACGAATTACGACAATACGACGACAATAACTGCAACTAAAACGCATACAAACAGGATATTCACCGTGGTAGACAATGAACAACACACACTTCTAAATTTGATAAAACGCTATATTTCATTGAGACCAGCTCATGTACCTCACACACGTTTCTTCCTCTTCTACAGAAACGATAAATGTTCAGTACAATCAGTTGGCATGAATACATTTGCCAAATTGCCGTCAGTCATAGCGAAATTTCTAAAATTAGAACAACCACAACTATACAGGGTGTCCCACTAAGGTCGGCGAGGTACGATATTACGGAAGCCATTAACTTTACAGCTTCGGGAAAAAAATCTATTGATGAAATTGGCAACAAAGAGAAATTGATTTAAAATATTTTCAAGTTTCTCAAATGACCGGTAGGGGGCGAAGTTACCATGATAAAACAAGAAATTCAAATTATCTCAGGAAATCGCTCGGTGAGGTACTTTTTTGATAAGGGAAATGAAAAGATCATTAATTTTGGGTCAGGTTGGTATATGGACTTTTTTTCGTATTCTCTGCAAGTTGTTTACCATCTCGTACAGGTCGGGTATTTTTCCATCATGCTGGAAGACAGCTAGAGTCCAACCAATCCCCAAAAAAGGGAACAAGAACCTGCCCAACAACTACAGGCCCATTGCCCTGTTATCAGTAATCTCCAAAGTGATGGAGAAAGCCATCAATATTGAGCTTATCAAATATCTGGAGAGCTCAGGAATCATCAATGATAGACAATACGGCTTTCGCCACCGAAGATCTACTGGAGATCTACTTGCCTACGTCACCCATTTATGGCAATCTTCAATAGAAAAACACGGGGAATCTCTAGCTGTCGCGTTGGACATTTCGAAAGCATTCGACCGTGTTTGGCACGAAGGACTCCTCCACAAACTACCATCATACGGCTTACCACCTCAGCTATGCCATCTCTTATCGAGTTTTCTTTCAGGCAGATCGCTTCACGTGGTGGTGGACGGTGTATCGTCTGATACCTTTGGCATCAATTCCGGCGTTCCACAAGGATCAATTTTGGCACCAACATTATTCCTGCTTCATATCAATGATCTGTTGGGAGTAACAACTTGCCCCATCCACAGCTTTGCAGATGATAGTACCCTCCATACAGCTTTCTCTTCCAGAATTCCCATTTCTTCCCAGGAAACTAAGACCTCACGGCGCAGGCAGGTCAATGCTGTCAATGAAGATCTTGCTGAAATCACAGCCTGGGGAACTAACAACCTAGTTGAATTCAACGCCACCAAAACTCAAGCCTGCATTTTCTCTAGAAAGGCGGAACTCAGTATGCCCGATATTGTAATGTCTGGCTCCACCATCCCCACCAAGCCCACCATATCTATGCTCGGTATTTCCATCAGCAACACTCTTTCATGGGATAATCATGTCAGATCCATCGCAAAAGCTGCTTCACAAAAACTCGGATTCTTGTTCCGTGCGAAAAGCTACTTTACACCTCAACAGCTTCTCATGATCTACAAAGCGCAGATACGGCCTGTTCTAGAATACTGTTCCCACATATGGGGTTCAGCACCAAAACATACACTGATGCTCTTAGATTCCATCCAGAGAAGAGCCATTCGCCTGGTGGGTGATGCCACACTCACTCACTCTTTGACATCATTGGAACATCGTAGAAAGGTCGGCGACCTTTCACTTTTCTATCGATACTTCCACGGGAAATGTTCTTCGGAAATCTCTGCTATCATCCCTTCACTAGCAATACCAATCAGACGAACTAGACAAGCCCAGTCAGCACATCCTTTCGTTGTCAACCTCGAAAGATGTCGAACAGCACTTTATCAAGACTCCTTCATCCATAGAACGGCTAGGCTCTGGAATTCATTGCCTGTGGAAGTATTCCCAACAACATATAATCTCCAAAAGTTCAAAAAAAATTCCAATACCTACCTCCTGTCCCTATCCTCCCAAGGAACGCACGATGTTCTTTGAACATTATAGGGATTCCCTTTCGTGCGCTCCAAGCGATAAAAAAAAAAAAAAATCTTGAATAATAATGGTGGGGGAAGCTTGTGAACAAAATATTTTTTGAATTGCTGTATCTTCCATACCCGTCATCCAAATTCAATCAACTTGGGCTCGTTTGAAAGATAATTTCACTCTTATTTCAAAACTGACTTTGTTTATGGTCGCTAGTTCACACCGCGTCTTATAGAGGGCACAGTTTACTCACTATTACTTTTTTTCGATTAATCTCGAAAAATTCAAATCTCCTTGAGATTTTAACGTAAATCAAGTTACCAACAATCAAAGCCATATTATGATAGAAATAAGTAACTAAGAAATATCGAATCAATGTCAAATAAATTGCAATTGAAAAGAATTTCACAGGTATAGATATTGTTGTTTTATCACATACAAATGAGATTGTGAATATCAAAGATAATTGTGGAATTTGCCGAATTATAGTGACTGGCATCTATACCATGAATAAATCAAAAGTAAAAAAAACTTTTTAATAAAGAGCTCTTATTTAAACGCTCTAAAAAGAAGAAAATGAAAATTTTCTTAATAATTTCAACTATCAACTTATAACCTCATTATACACAATTTATATGATCATAAAAGTTTGTCGCGCGATTCACTTGTGTGAATGAACTAGTACTTATTTAATCATGTAAAACCTGCTGAGATGAAATTTTTAAAATTACAATTTAATCAAATATTGATCATCGCGACAAGCTTTTGTGATCATATAAATTGTGTATAATGAGGTTATAAGTTAATAGTTAAAATTATTAAGAAAAATGTTATTTTCATCTTTTTAGAGCGTTTAAATAAAAGCTTTCTATTAAAGAGTTTTTTTTTACTTTTAATTTATTTTTCAATTTTTAGTTATCTCTAGCTAAATTTTTCGATTTACTCTCAACGAGCCTTCTTATTTGATACCCATATTGTAGAAGTATATTGAAAATGACCATTCCGCCATCTTGGATGGTCCGCCATAATGGATTTACAATGAAGTCACATCATTTTTCGAGTTACTCTCAACGAGACTTTTCAGTTGATGCCCATATTGTAGAAGTATATTGAAAATAGCTATTCCACCATCTTGGATGGTCCGCCATATTGGATTTAGAATAACGTCACATTATTTTTCGAATTACTCTCAACGAGCCCTTTTATTTGATACCCATATTGTAGAAGTAGATTAAAAATGACCATTCCGCCATCTTGGATGGTCCGCCATATTCGATATAGAATGACGTCACATCATTTTTCGAGTTACTCTCAACGAGCCTTTTCATTTGATACCCATATTGTAAGAGTATAACAAAAATAGCTCTTCCGCCATCTTGGATAGTCCACCATATTGGATTTAGAATAACGTGACACACCTTATCGTGCATCGTCATCCAAACTGAACGTGTATACAAAATTTCAGCTCAATCGGTTAAAGATTTCTACTTCAAAATTGAGTTCAAAGATTCCACCCGAACATACATACCCTGCCCACTATGCAGAATTCTGATCACTAGGGATGTTGTACTCGAGAGAAAAAGGTTGGCGTTATTATTGGAGTGAATGGAGAATTCATCAATTATTATTTTTCTCAGATATAAGCAGCATAATACGAAGGATAGGAAAAGAATAGTAGCATGCGCCAGCAAAGGTGATGATTGGTTTCCTTAGCCGAGTACCACAAGTTGAAGGTTCGGGTGTTGGAGAACAACGACCTGTTTATCTTTAACAGAATATTGACCAGGACAAAGATAGAATTGTTAAACTGATATTATCTATACTGTCTCATTAAAAGGACACCAAAATATGTGGATTTTGATTTTATTCCCTGTCTTTAGGTAAATATTTTTGAATCGGCAACAGTGCTTGCCCACGCATCACACGTTGAGGTCTGCAAATCACGCGTAAAATATTCAACTTGGCAACATCTATAGGAGGCTAGACTCCTTCACAATTCGCAATCCTAGCGCGCAATGCAAATGCCCGAATACGCCCGAATAGCACGTGTTTGTCGTGGTCGTGTCTCGTTGCGAATTGCGGACAATCGCGAGTGCATTGTTCATGTTTATGTTAGGTTAATGGTTAGGGGTTCTATGAATTTCTGAAAAATGAGTGTTTTAAACGATTGCGATTTAGTGGAATACTTTTTGGTGAACCCATTCAGTGCTTTGTCTTATGAAGATAAATTTATTGTGAAAAACAAACGTCCGACACCGGAATTAAAAAATCTGATTGTAACAGGTAACAAACAAAATCGTTCGTTCAATTCTGATAATTATAAAAAATATATCTGGTTGACGGGATCTGAGGTAAGGAATAAGCTATTTTGTTCGTACTGCCTATTATTTTCAACCGATAAGTCATCATGTTGGGGGCGATTAGTATATATAATGATTTGAAAAATTTGCCTCGCGGATTGGATAGACACTGCAAATCACAGGAACACATCTCTTCAAGTATTAAGTTCAGGTTAACTGGTGAACAGAATGTCATTAAAGGTATATTGATTTGGGTGAGTCGTAGAGAGTTTTTTTTTCACAATAAATCTCATATCATTCAGCCTCCTCTGTCATGGAAGTCACGAGCCGCCAATAATTATCACTCACCTGCGGACTCTGCGGTGGGAAGACCGGCACCCCGCCCCGCCCCGCCGGATGATACGCCCTCGTCGCCACGCCCCCGTACGTCTGCTGCGTGGGACTCGTCGGATTCGACCGATAGAAATCCGCGGCGGCCGCCGATTGGCCAGCGCGTCCCGTCGGCGAGCAGGCGTCCTTCCACATGTACACGCCCCTTTGGGGGGAGTTGGCCAGCTCGCGGATGTTGTCGACGGTGTTGTTGGAGCGGGGGGGCGGGTGGGCGGAGAGCGGGGCGGGCTCTTGCCGGACCAGCTCGCCCTCGGAGAGGAAGCGGCGCTGAGGGCTGCCGTAGGTACTATGATGGTGGGGCCAGCCTTGGGAGAAACGCATCTTTATTATACTTCTTTGAAAAGTGTTTCGTGACCGCACATCTTACTTTGTAGATTATTAGTTTTAGATTTAGTTCAATACTTATGTATACATACACAAAACATACATATTTTGATAATCTCCTTTTCGTTAATTTCTATATGGTTCATTTCTCACTTTTGTCCGCGATCAATGCTGTGATTTTTAATTCTTGTTTTGCAAGAAAAAAGGAGAAGATGAAGGCGAACATTCCAAACATTCCACCACACATTCGATGTTCTGAGACCGCATGGCCAGTGGCACCAGGAAAAGAAATTCCACAGAATAGTCAATAAAACGGTTATTCTGTCCCTGGTGACACTAACAATGTCAATAAAACGCAACTAAAGTATATTTTCTAAATGATTCATTCACATTCACTTGTTCTTGTTGATAAAAACGTGAGACGAGCACACTATAGGCCTGTTCGTGTGTTTGCTCTACCTGTCTCCCGACACAACCATCTTGGCACATCCAAGGACAAATATGATTTGTGATATGTCAAATGTGTCAAATGGTGCAAAATATTTCGATTTTTTGAATAGAGGATTCGGTTAGCGCGTAGAAGTCGTCGAAGTAATATTTTTCAATTGAGTATATTTTATAATTTTATATTTGGAATGGAGGATATAAAAAGGAGGTGTGATTTAATAATAGGTATGTGTGATGCATCAAGAGCACTATTTGAAGAACAACATCGATATATTCTGAATAATTGCGATAAAATTATAGACACAACGAACGAAAGAAAGACTATTCATTTTGAAACAAAGCAAATCATTAATACTAATAAAAAACAGACGAGCAAGTGCGTCTATTTTTCACTAAGAAGAAGAGAACCAAAGATGCTTTAATATTCAAAGAACCAAATAATCTTGAGCCAAAACATATAATCGGTAGTCTTTCAAATAAAACTGATTTTTAGGATCTCTTCATAACCTAAGTCCGTGCGTTTTCATTCAGAAAAATGGATTGGTACTCATTCTACAGTCCCTTGGCCGGCGCGGTCGCCTGATTTGACACAGCTGGATTTTTTCTTAGGGGATATATCAAAAACTTTGTATACGCAAATAACTTCGATGATGAAGAAGAACTAAGTGACAGTGTCATGAAGCATTCAATAGAATAGCCCCAGAAATGCTTAGTAATGTCTTAGAAGCAACTGCGACAAGAGGATATCTTTATTCAGAAAATAATGGTTATCATTTTAAACATTTGTTATGAATGGTTCTGTGGGTATTGTCAAAGTTAAGTTGTTGAAGTAATTCGTGTAAGAATTCATCAACAGTTTTAAGCGCTGCATTGAATGATGTAGTGAAATATTTTTTATCCACTTCTCAGTATTGAATAACTAATCCATCTCAATGTTTGACACTAAATGATCAGTAATAAGTGGAACTGATGGCACTTTTCCATTGGAAGTTCGAAAAAACATTGATGATGGATAGAAATAGGTCGAAACACATTTGAATCACCTTGTTCCATACATGGTCGAATTCAGAATAAAAAAACCTTTCAGAATCTGTGAAAAAATTATCAAGGCCGTATTTAAAAAACAAAAGTTGATGATGGTTCTACGGATACGAGACGTTGCACACCAAAATCGGTTCCACCACGTTAAACTTCATCAAAAGTTGCTATGAAAAAGTATTTTCAGTTTTTCTGTATCTCTAATAATAACGGAGAAAATAAATAAAATGGATATTCCAAAAATTCACTTTTTTAGATATAACTCAAAAACTAGAAATAATTTTAAAAATGTTCGAAGGCTCTTGATATAAGCCTCCGAATGCGCAACTTTTTCCCCATTTAAACGACTTCGTATCTCCTACCGTTTCCGAGATTTCCATGCTGTTCAGCCTTATCTTGGACAGACTGTATACACCTACATATACGACCTCCACATTGAGGTCCTTCAGCCTTATTATCATTCAATATTTCGAGATGAAATAATTTTCTAATCAATTTATCGTACCCTTCTACCCACTCGAAGAGACGCTATGCACTCTCATACAAAAATCAAAGACAGAGAAAGATATATGGATGTACTCTTCCCAGGACTTGTGGAGGAAGGAATATGCGAGGATCCTTCATCTAAGCAAGAAACATTTTCTTGTCCTTGTCTGGCTAAACATATGATTTGCTTCAAAATCGTTTGTGGTTATGTTTGATTGTCACTGCTTGTCTAGTGTCCGTACTCTAATATTCCAAAAACGTCAAAACAGCAGTGTCAAGTACATTTAGGAACTCTAATTTCTATGACTTTCTCTGTTTACATTATGCCATGAACAGAGACAATTATAGGAACGAAATTAACTTCAGCAAGTTCAGCAGCACAAACGAACAGGGGCCGTATTCTCGACGAGTGAACTTTTGATGCGTATGCGCACTTCGAGAGTTTCGTACGCTTTGGTATTCTTGACCAGTGAAATAGGAGGCGTGTACGTTTTCAAAGCGAGCGTTTACAGCGAGCGCTTTATTTCACTCGTTTTGTATCTTTTCGTTCGTTTTGTTGACTTGTAACGTGTGTCATTGAATATTATTTGTATTGGAGAACCATTATGGACTCTAATGAATCTTTTTTGAGTTTCATATCATCTGAATAAATAGTAAATAACATCAAAACATAATGGAAGGGAAATTTGTACAGTTGATGTTGATTGACGTGATGGAAGATGCAGAACAAATAGATTGGCGAAGATACAGTAGCGTGGAAATCACTCTGATGATTTGGGTTACAATCAATTTATCAAAATGTTTCGCCTCCAAAGCATAGGTTCAATACCTAATGAATATCACCTCTGATTTCATTACATGACCTGCACATCGTACTCAAGATTTGGATATCTCCACAAGAGTTAGTACCCAACTATCACAGAGGTGATACACATTATACTGACTGTGTTAGTTTCCTTAAGGTTTTTTGAAATGAAAATGTAACCAAATACACATGAGCTGCAATTTCAATGATGTGTCCCAGTCTTATGTTTCTAGCATATACGTATTAATAAACAATACGGATCATAACGGGTGCCAGGATGAAGCCAAAAATATGAAACAAATGAATATCCATAGGGATTTGGTGGCATGATACGCATGCGCCATGCGCTATTATAGTAGTCATCAAAGACATGCGGTTCGGTGGACAATGACGTTTACTTGCCTTTCAATCTAAGCAGTATGTGTCTGATCGTTTCAAAACTTTTCCTTATGGATAGTCATTTGTCTTCAAAAATCGGCTTCATGTTTCGCTATGCAAACAGATAGAGATTATCCGTATTGATTATTAATACGTATATGGTTTCTAGACGTGTGAACAAAATCGTTGAGGTTCTGGAACAAAGTTGAAATTTTCTGAAGATTCATTAAATTTCCTGCCAATATTTACCAGTTGAAGAACAGAGTATATTCAGCTAAAGAACAGAGTATATTCAAAGTAATTGGCTTTTATTCAAGTGATTTTTCAAAAATTTTTCTATACAGATTCAACAGAAAATATGATTTTCCAGGGGTAATAAGCTGTTTGACTGCACTCACATATACCTATTCTTCCTCCAAAAGTGCATGGTTATGAACATCTTGAAAATATCTATTTAAATAGAGAAAAACTATAATTTAATAAATGTACAATTAATTTGTGACTACAATTCGAGAATTGTTAATGTGAATTCGGTTTCCTGGTAATACAAATGATGCTTTTATATGAAATAGTTCAAATGTCCAAACAATGCTGAGGAGATTACATGATGCTGGATAATTGTTTATTATACATTATCATTTATTATTATTTATTGCTGTATATTTATGTTTTTCTAATCTAATGAATCTCTATTTACTGGACTATTATGTTTAAATAATAACTGATGTGAATGAAGAATGGTATATCATGTTTATATATCATATTATTTTTGATCATATTATTCATTTCCACTTCATCTGTGAATAATTTTTAGATTGATTTGATTCATTCAACACAGCATATGCATTATAAAAAATATCTAAACAATTTTATTCTTCGCGCGGAATTTTTCACATATTCACAGAACGTGAATCAACGGACCATTTCATGACTTTCGTGAAATATTACAGTGGTGCCGGATGCTCTGATCGCATCACGATCGCACGTTTTCAAGCGTATACGTTTTGCGAAGTACTCGCACATGAACCATTCGTTTTGATGCGTATACGACAAAAAGCTCACTTGTCGAGAATACGGCCCCAGACCTTATGAATGACTCACCGGTGGACATGGGCACGCCCTGACCTTCCCCCATCATCGCCCCGCCTCCGCCCGCCCCTCCCCCTCTCTGATGCCCGCCCTGGTCCGGCTGGCGCTGCTGCGGGTAGTGCTGCTGGTGGTGGTGGTGGGGGGGCGGCTGGAAGTCGTAGTAGTGGGCGGCCGGCGATGGATTGGCGGCGTACACCACGCCGACGAAGTCTGAGGGCCTGCGCGGCTGCGTCGGAGTACTCGGGTTAGATCTGCGAAAACGGCCGGAAGCGGGCTACTTTCACATACTCTAGCGGTTGTATGATACGAGCGGCAGCCTATCAAGCAGCTGGCATATTTTTTTTTTGCAAATCTCGTGCATTTTTTTTATTGAGGTTTTTATCTCACTGTGAAGGTTGTAAAAAATCAATATACAGTGTGTCCCAAATTCGATCCTCACCATTGGGATCTCAGTAACTATGAGAGATAGAGAAACGGTTCAATTGGCAAAGTTGTAGCAAATTTAATGTTGAATATGAATCTATTGAGAAATCCGGACTAGTTTTAGTTAGGGTCCCTTGATGGAAATTGACGTTAAAGTCATATAACAGGGTACGGACAGATCATAGCTGCATTCTTTTTTAATGATCTAGAGATTTTAGTTTTGTCTACTGGCATCCCTGACATTGCTGTCACGTCACAATCATGGGCGCTACAGAAAATCATTCTAAATTTTAATAATAGGTATGTACAGGGTATTTACTTGTTGAGGAAGATCATATTATCATGATGAACGAGTTTTGTAATTATGATCCGATTCTATTCAAAATTGGTATCTGGGAGTATTCGGGGTAGGAGATAATGATTTTATCGTAAAAATTGGGAAATTCAAGATGACGGATCCAATATGGCGAAAGACATTAGTTTATATAATTATTACTCTACCACAAATAAAAAATATGTAGGATGCAAGAGTGACAATAGCGTGCCTATAAGTTATACTGCGCATGCCTACTTCTTCGTTACTTTCATCAGTAAATTATTCGAAAATGACTTTTTATTCAGGGGAGACGGAAAAATGAGGTAATATATATTCTTTTCTGTATTTTTCTGAATATTTTACGTATTTCTTTTTTATCAGCCTACTTTCCGTCCTAGACAAAGTTTTATACATAGTATGATATTAGTAACTCCATAAATTCTTCGAGTTGGATTTCCGAAAATATATTCAGCACACATGACATGAGTACCTACAGCAGTTTAGATACCCACATCGAGGTTTCCACCATTTCTCAATCATAAGGCTCTGCTCATTCAGCTCATAGATAAACTACTCAGCTTGAAATCAGAATTCATTCAGTCAATTTAGTCAACCCTGGTATACAGTCTAAGAACAGTCTCATTTGGTGAAATACATTATAAGCTTTCAGTACAATTTTTATGTTCCCTACCTCGCAAAGATTATGCTGGAGTAGTAAACTCTAAAACTAGAGGATTGTTCATCTATATCTTGGTATAGTTGAATCAGGAATTCCATATGGAAATTACGTATGATACGCCAGTGACCTCAAACTAACCTAAAAAACAACGAATGTCAAAAATCTAGTGTTTATCCCCAGAATTGAATAAGGATGGAACTATATAACTGTTTCACAAACGCTTTAGAGTGAGAGGACACGAGGATCTGTCCGTACCCTGTTAAGATGACTTTAACGTCAATTTCCATCAAGGGACCCTAGTTTTAGTTAGAGTCCCTGTATATACCTTAGACAAGAGTCCGGACACAGCTATACTTCTGTCCTTTTCTGTTTTCAAAAAATTCATTGATGATTGAATAAAGGAATAAGACATATATATCGAGCTCTGTCTTTTCAATTCCCCTAGTATCAATGATTGTCAGAAACAATTTTGAGGGTTAGATTATTTGTCAAACCGTTCATAGCCGTAGGTAGAAGTGAGAAATAAGGCTTTTTCAACAAGAATAACTATTAGATTATCAAATAATGAACAACAGGGTGTTCAAATTTCGAATCGATAATTTTCATAATCAATTCCTGAGATGTCTATTGCAAATTTTTGTCATCAGATATTTCTTCACTTCATTAGATATAAGAATCTCTATCAAAATGGGCCTAAAATCCATTTTTTTTGTACTGTTTTCACAAGTAAATTTGGATATTTACCTCACATATTGCCGATTTCTTGAAATTAATTCTCCATTCTGGACGTTTCATTGCATTCTTCCATGACATTATCTTTGAAGGATCATTCGGAAAATTGAATAATTTGAATCCCTTTTCTAATGAATTATCGCAATAATGTATGCAGCAGGACATTGAAATAATTTAAAATGCTAAATTTTGGCGGTCATAAAATTTCAAAGTAACAGTGACAGAGATTCGAAATAATCAAAAAAGCGGGCGGAACGACTATGGTGTTTCGTCACATTGTCAGGTGGGCAAACCAAATGAAACAAAATATTAAAAACCCATATACGTATTAATAATCAATACGGATAATCTATATCTGTTTCCATAGCGAAACATGAAGCCGATTTTTGAAGACAAATGACTATCCATAAGGAGAAGTTTTGAAACGATCAGACACATACTGCTGTGATTGAATGGCTAGTAAACGTCATTGTCCACCGAAACGCATGTCTTTGATGACTGCTATAATAGCGCATGACGCATGCGTATCATGCCACCAAATCCTTATGGATATTCATTTGTTTCATATTTTTGGCTTCATCCTGGCACCCGTTATGATCCGTATTGTTTATTAATACGTATATGTAAAAACCCCAACGGCTGTCAGTTTTGTGTCCGGACTCTTGTCTAAGTTATATACAGGGACTCTAGTTTTAGTCATTCTTGAGGTATTTGAGAAAAACTGAAATCTTGTATTTTTGTTTTGTTCGAATATCTCGGAAACTATTGATTTCATGAAACAATGATTTTAACATTCTCATAGCACTTTTTGGTGTTCTTTTCAATGGTTTTGTCAGTTTTCCATCGAAATGTCAAATTGAGATTTCATTTTTTCCCAAATACCTCAAAAATGACTGAAGCTAGCCTGGATTTTTGATAGATTCTGATTCAACATCAAATTTGCTACAACTTTGCTGATTTAACCGTTTCTCTATCTCTCATAGTAACTGAGATCCCAATGAAAGTGAGATGCTTTACTGCGTTTTATAGGACAAACGTTTTTCTTTTCATTTTACATCTCACTCTGATACGCTGCAAACACATACCAACAAATTCAATATCCAACCAATTACTTTTCTTGTGTTGGGCAGTTCTTAACCTAAAGTGTCTCAACGTCTTTGACATTTTACGTTTTTTTGTCCAGACACTCGGAAAGAAACCATTCAAGTTTTTTATCTCTTCATCTCTTTTCTTCTTTTAGGAAATACATTAAATTGAATCTGCTCTTCAATTTTTTTTGTTCACAAACAAACGAACGGAAAATTATATTCTAAGCGTGCGTTGAAAATATTTCACAATCTACGCAAGCACACGAACCTAATCAAATATTCGCTGACCTAATAAAAGTCTAGCAAACTGAAAATTCTCCTTCCTATATTCAACTGATCGTTATTTATGGACTTGCTTTAAATACCATGACCAACAAAGCAATCATTACTCAGATTCATTTTCAAACTCCAGCTGGTACAGAATCAATAGACATTTCATTTGTTAACCAAGACATTTTTAGTTGGTCAGTTTCATAAAGTTTCAATGAACAATTACCAATCAACTCTGCTAACTCATCAAAAAAGGCTTACGAAGTCATAATTATTATGAAAGTAATTGAATATTCAATTGTCTGTTCAATGCATTATGGAGTAGTCTAGTAGTGGATTAATCGTTTGTGTGGTGAATAACTTTTGATCAACATACTGTTTAAATTCGCCCAATTGAAAAATTCAGGAGAATATAGGAAACCAATCTTCTTCAGGACTATGAATACCTACACCAGAACCTAAGCAGAAGCTCGCAAAATAATGAGCAGCAATTCTTACACTGAATAAACAGGAATAAAATGCCAAAGCCGGCAAACCAAAACTCACTAAAGACATGTCTTTCTTATGACTGAAGATTAAATTCAACTTACTTTGAGGTCATGTAAAATTATGATTATTAATATTGTTTGTTGAATTGCCTCTGCCGTCGATAGAAATCCAAAACTTCACATACGACGCAGGAAGACAAGTCATTGTTGGGTTAATTCATTGTGCAAGTAGTTTACTTGAATAAGCTACTGTGTTAGGGAAACATATCGTGTTTTCAAGAATTTTGTGGAGATATTATAGTCTGTGGAGGTTCAACATATCACAATATGACGATGTGAATAAGAAAGACACATCACTTTTGTAAAAATACAAAATAATGATAAGTAGTGACAAATTCTGTGATATAATTAAGTTATTTTAAATACTACACTGTAACCAATGTCCAGTTGTGTGCATAACCAAGTCGTACAAGGTTTGTAAGGTGTAAACCTGCCTATGATGATGCAGGTTTTATTAAAAAGTAGTACTCGTACACATTCCCGCGTTACTGACAAAAATAGTTTCTAAATTTTACCATTGAACACTGATTATTCAACAACAAAAGTGGTCCTTCGAGCCGGATTTGAAACAGCGACGTCTCTCTAAACATAGAAGACGTCGAAAGTGAAATAGCTATCGTATGCTGTAAAGAAGCAGATGAAAGACTTCATGAACTCGTGAAAAGTTTCATGAAAATTGACAATTTTGGAGTGGTTCCAACATATCGAGATGAAAGAAGATCGAAGGAAGATGAAAGGGCAATTTCTGAAGAAGGGCAACATGTTGTCAAACTGCCTTGGAAGTATGAAGATATGCAATTTCCAGAGTCAAAACAAATGGCTATGCAGAGACTTCTATGTTCAGAGAGACGTCTTGACAGCGATGTAAATTTCGCGAAAGCATACTGTGCTGAAATTGATGAAATATTCCAAAAAAAATACGCAGTTCCTGTGCAGCCTCATGAGCTCCAAGAATGGAAGAGAATTTGGTTTGTACCCCATTTTCCTGTGAGAAATCCGAGCAAACCAAATAAAGTACGAGTTGTTTTCGACGCCGCTGCAAGAAGTAATGGATATTCTCTAAATGACTTCTTACTCACTGGTCCTGACCTACTTGCTTCGCTCTTTGGTATTCTACTGAAATTTCGAATTCGAAAAATTGTCTTTGTTAGAGACATCGGTGAAATGTTGAAGAAAAATAAAGATTGCCATGATGATATGCATATTTTTAGTAGTTGTTTGTTTATTTCTAAAAGTCAAAGTTCTGATATTTTCTATATTTTACCATTGAACACTGATTATTCAACAACAAGCCTGACTCACAATAGCCTATAACTGCTGTACGATTTGATTATGCACACAACTGTACCTGCCAAGAAAAAATGTACTCTGTTCATTCCATATTTTTCTTTTTTTACATGACATGTTTTTTTAGAGTAAAAACCTCTATGAAGATGTAATTTTCCGTGGTTCGATAAAGAATTCTATCTAAACATTCAGAACCGACCAGAGTGGAAAAATGTTACCTTCTAACTGGACTAGACAATGCCAGAGGCGTCGGCACTCCTAGCGCTTTGATCCTTTGCTGCATAGTAGGCGACGGTCTTTGAGGGGGGCCCAAGCTATCGGGGGTAGTGCTCCTAGCACGAAAAAGAACAATTCTATTTCATACATTTTTTTAAAACAAAAATACGATTTTGTCTTCAGTCGCTCACCCTGTCATACAAGTATAATTCTGAATTTGAAAGGAGATTGGAGTATAGCCATTCTTTCATTTTTTTCAAAACCTCATTTATGTTGTTTTCTAAAATTACAGGGATTTTGTTTTCAAATAAAAGTACTGTGTTATCTGCATATGGCATAGTTTCCTATTACATTTATTTTTGAAATGTTTTGAATGTATAAAAGATACAGAATTGGGCCCAACACTGATCCTTGTGGAACTCCTTTGTTTATATATTGTATTTTAGATTAACAATTATCGATTTTCGTACTGATAGTCCTTTTTTCTATATATGTTTTCAAGAGATTTGATTAAGATTTTTCAGGAGAATATTGTGGTCAACTGTATCAAATGCTTTTTTTAGGTCCGTAAAAATAGCTACTACATAATTTTCTTTGTCAAGTCTATCTTGTATAGAATTGATTACTTGTAAAACTGCTGACTGTGTACCACTTTTCTCTTGAAAACCAAATTGATTCAAGTCAAACCCATATTTTTCATTGATGAAGTCAACAATTCTCTTTTTTATATCTTTCTCAAGTATTTTGGAAAAAATACTCAACAAAGCTATTGGTCTGTAATTTACTTTCTGAATTACAATTGATATTTTCTAAAATTCAATTGACTAATCTGAATTACAAATGATGCTTTCTGAATTTCAATCAACTATTCTGAATTACAAATGACGTAGTCTGAATTACAATTGACCCATTCTGAATTACAAATGATACATTCTGAATTAGAAATGACGCTTTCTGAATTACAAATGACGCATTCTGAATATCAACTGATTATTTCATTCACACCCGGCTCGACCTATGCAATGTCATGATTGAAGTCACATAATATGCGATATCAGCGGCTATTTAGGTAAACAAACAATATGAGCGGCTATTCTGTTCGCCAGCATAAGAGTGCTATGGTTGTCAAACTTTGACATACCTATCAGTCACTCAAAAATTGAAATGTCTCGTTTTGGGTCAACTTCCACTACGGAAATCCGTAATTATGTAAGCGAATCGATATCAGAAAATAACAAGGAGAGGAAAGAGTCTGTCTGGAACAATTCATGTTTTATTGCTAGCAGAAAAACTATGAATTTTGTGCGACTACCCCATTTCTCGTGATTGCCCAAATCCTGGAAGATTGGGTGAGGAGAATGGTGAGGAATATTTGGAATACACAGTTGAAATTAATATGGAAATTTATACAGGGTGGGCCACCAGTAACGCCTCGGTCTCTAGAAGGCTAACCACTTATCTTCTTGGAATTCTTCCTCTCTAGGAAGTTGCATGTCAACATAGGCTACCAATTAAAATTATTTCGGAACATACAGGGTGTCCCCAAAAAACATAAAACACTGAAGTTAAACTTTTTTCTATCGAACACCCTATATATTATTTCATTTTGAGATTCTCCCTGATGAGCTTATTTCAACGACCCATCATACTTGGGGTCTAGCACTTATAATTACTGAAATATAGGGTGTGAAAAATCGTGATTTTCCAAGTTCAAGAATTTTTTGTGTCGAAACTATTCATAATTGGTCAAAACGGCTTACATGTCCCTATCTCAACTTTTGATTAACTATCTACTGATATTTAATTGGGACATATACCGGGTGATCAAGTTTCTGAATTCTGCACCACCCTGTATTTGTTTCAACTAAATGTCAGTAGATAGTTGATCAAAAGTTGAGATAGGGACATGTGAGCCGTTTTGACCAATTATGGATGGTTTAGACACAAAAAATTCTTGAACTTGAAAAATCTCGATTTCTCACACCCTATATCTCAGTAATTATAACTGCTAGACCCCAAGTATGATGAATTGTTGAAATCAGCTCACCAGGGAGAATCTCAAAATGAAATAATATATAGGGTGTTCGATAGAAAAAAGTTTAACTTCAGTGTTTCATGGTTTTTGGGGACACCCTGTATGTTTCGAAATAATTTTAAATGGTAGCCTATGTTGACATGCAACTTCCTAGAAAGGAAGAATTCCAAGAAGATAAGTGGTTAGCCTTCTAGAGACCGAGGCGTTACTGGTGGCCCACCCTGTATTGAATTCAAAGGTGCCAGGGTTCCACATAATGCAAAAAAAAAGAAAAGTACAGAAGCTCTAAGCAAAGAATATTGATAGCGTTATCAATAGCCTAAATATTCTTTCTTTGCTCTAACTTCAGATGAATTGATGGCAATTGTACGTAGATATGATGAGAATACCCCAGACGGCCTTCATAAGAATTTTTATTCAAATAGCATCTGCAGAATTGTGAAATTCAACTTGAATTAAATGTCGAAACTCATATGAACCAGTATTTTTACATTGTTCATGAAATAATCTTCCTGAATATCACTCGACCATGACAAATGGAGACTATTATTTTCTTCAATTCATCTCGAGTAACTTGTATTTTGGGACAATTCAATTCGACCATATGAACATAAATAATCATAATAACTCCATCGAGCTAATGCTCTCGGGAATTATTCAGATTATTATTAGATAGATAGATAGATAGATAGATTTATTGGTGTTACTATACATTAAAGTACTTACACAAGTCATAAAATGTCAATACACACTTATACATGTAGCTGGACAATATACAAATATATAAGACTATCGAAATCATGTACAACATGTTAAAATAATTTAAAAAAAGAAAACCTGGGTCTTGTTCACTTGATCATTTCTAGTTTGATAATACCAAATCATTGAAATTGTTTGTGAGATATTCTCCAATTGAGTAAAATGCTTTTGTTAAAAGATAATTTTTGAAGATTTTAGTAAAACAATTTAAATTCAAATTTACATTTTTGAGTTCATCTGGGAGTACATTTTGGGGCCGAAGTAACTAGTACCGTCTCTGGTCTTTTCAAGGCGATGATATTTAGGTAACAATTTACCTCTGTTACGTAGCCGTAGGAATCTCCAGTTGTACTATATGCATCAAATTTTTTTTTTACATAGACAACACATTCGAGGATATAGGCACAAGGAGCTGTGAGTATACCCAATTCTATGAATTTTGACTTACAACAGTCTCTGTAAGTCAGTCCTGAGATAACTCTCACACAGCGTCTCTGAACTCCGAAGACCTTAGATATGTGGCATGAGTGACCCCAGCTTAGAAGAGCATATGTCATATTCGAATGGAAGTAAGCGAAATAGGCTGTCATGAGAATATCCACAGATACGTTATTTTTCAAATTTCTAATCATATAGATAACGGAAGAGAGTTTCTTGGTCAATTTGTTCGCATGAGTTTCCCATGTCAAAAAAGGGTCAATATAAACGCCTAAGAATTTCACCGGATCTGCTGGGGTTGTTTCATAATGACGTAAGGTAAAAAGCAGCGATTGAGTTTTGTCGTCGTTTAAAGTCAGCTTGTTTGCTGTAAACCAGTTTTGAATTTCCTTATTCTGGGTTTTCACATTAGCTCTAAGAGTATCCAGGTTGTTTGATGAACTGATTGTTGTGGTATCGTCAGCAAAAAGTATGACTTTGCCATTGATAATATGATGGGATAGATCATTTACATATATTAGGAAGAGAGTAGGGCCCAAGATTGAGCCTTGTGGCACCCCATGTTTCATCCAGACTTTACTAGAGACATAACTGTTATGTGTGACATAACATACATATTGTTTATATGGTCTCATCAAACTGTCAAAATACAAGGTACTCTCGATAGAATTATGAAGAAAATAATAGTCGGCTATTTGTCATGGTCTCGGGATATTACCCACGACAATTCTGAATTACATTTGATATTTTCTGAATTTCAATTAACTAATCTGAATTACAAATGATATTGTCTGAATTGCATTTGACGCTTTCTGAATTACAATTGAAAAAAAAAAGGTGTAGTCTCCAAAAACACACGAGAAAAAAAACCGCTCGCTTGCCCACCTGTTCTGGTCGAGCCCCCTCGGCCTGGGATGCGGGCTGTGGCGGGGCGGCGCGTAATGCCCGCCCCTCGCCTGCGCCCTAGGCGGCGAGTCGCCGTCCGCCCCCATCGCCACCGAGGCGTTGGGCGGTAGGAAGAAGTTGCTCTTGGAGCCGTGCCGCTGCAGGGGCGGCGTAGGCTCGCAGTCCTGCGATTGGGAGGCCGAGGGCTCCATGTCGAGGTCGCAGCCTTCTCGGCCCGGAGACATCTGTGGCGAACAAAGAAAATTTAATAGAATAGAATAGAACTTTATTTACGGTTATCCATTGCATACATTATAATCACAAATATTATTACAAGATGGGAAAAAAAATATATATAAAATATATACCTATGTAAATATTCAACAAATACAAATAAACATATAACAAGAGAATATCCTAAATCAGTATGAATCTATCACAGTTATCACTCACAGTTGCTATATATCCTAGATCATTATGAATCTATATCACAGTAATCAAACACAGCTGCTTATAATGGGGGTACTATTAATGGTAATCAATGACTTCTTGAATAACTGAAACGAATTACTGAAAATGTCGAAATGTATACAATTATTATTGTATTCCCTTGGTATCCTTGAGAAATCAAGGTGAAGAATTGGGTTGTACGTGTAATATGTTGTATTTATCATATTTCGCTAATAAATAAATAGATAGAATCAATTACTTTTATTAACACTACTCCTGTCTACTACATCAGGTACAATCATAGAATGGCCGACCTCCGTCGTACGTCCCCCTACTGACACATGTCAGATGACATATGGCAGATGAATGACACAGGTTACATTTCTATATTGTTACCAACTTCCTAATACTAATTCCACTACCTAACAGTACGCACTATGTAGTCGAATTCACGCCACATACCTATTTTTATTTATTTATTTATTTATTTATTTATTTATTCATTGAACAAATAACTTCCAGACAGAATAGGCTCTGGTATAAGGAAGTACATAATTATACAGGCTGATCCACGGTGGATGGCCTATTAGAAGTATCTGGAGTAGGAAAAGACAGAACATTCTGAAAATTGGGATGCTTTGATAATTGAACATTCTCTATCCGTCTAATGTATTTTCATCGAAACAGTGTTGCCACTTCTATCAGAAACAACTAGCAACTTCGTTATTTTAAATAGAGCACCCTGTATTTTATTGCATTTTTAGATTCTCCCTGAAAAGCTGATTTCATCAATGTATCACACTTGGGGTCTAGCAGGAATAATTACATAGATATAGGGTGATCAAAATCGAGATTTTTCAATTTCAGGATTTTTTTGTGTCGAAAGTATTCGTTATTGATCAAAATGGCTTACATGTCCCTATCTTAACTTTCGATTCACTATCTACTGACATTTAATTGGAACATATACAGGGTGATCAGAATTCTGAATCTTGAAGCACCCTGTATTTTTTCCAATCAAATTCCAGTAGATAGTCTTCATGTCCCTATCTCAACTTTTGATTTACTATCTACTGACATTTATTTTAAACAAATACAGGGTGGTTCAAGATTCAGTATTCTGATCACCCTGTATCTGTTCCAATTAAATGTCAGTAGATAGTAAATCAAAAGTTAAGATAGGGACATGTAAGCCGTTTTGATCGATAATGAATAGTTTCGACACAAAAAAATACTAAAATTGAAAAATCTCGATTTTGAACACCCTATATCTCTGTAATCATTCCTGATAGACCCCAAGTGTGATACATTGATGAAATCAGCTCTTCAGAAAGAATCTAAAAATGCAATAAAATTCAGGGTGTTCCATTTGAAATAACAAAGTTGCTAGTTGTTGCTGATAGAAGTGGCAACACTGTATCGATGAAAATATTTTAGACGGATAGAGAATGTTCAATTATCGAAGAAACCCAATTTTCAGGATGTTCTGTCTTTTCGTTCTCCAGATACTTCTAATAGGCCATCCACCGTGGATCACCCTGTATACCTATAGTGGAGAGGATTAGACGACTGTCTAAGTTAAGGATGAAACTGAGAATTCCTTTGAGTATGCAGTCAAAGAAACACAAAGTGTACTCTTGTTTCTGTTCAAGCTTTCGAGTCTTCATTGGCTCTTCATCAGGAACTCTATAAAACATTATAATTGATATGAAAATCGAATCGTCATTCGATTGTTGAAACACTTACGGAAAATGAGCTTCAACAAAATCTCCTTTTCCGTAGAAGTGAGTGAGTTTGTGAGCGAGGCATCACCAACGAGACGAATTGCCCTTATAGATCATAAGCAGCTGACTGGAAGTGAAATAGCTCCTGGCCCGAAACAGAAAACCAAGTTTTTGGGATGCACTTTTAGCAATAATTGATCTCACGTGATTTTCCCAAGAAAGGTTATTGCTGATAGTAATACCAAGCATCGAAATGGATGTCTTCAAAGGTATGGTTACTCCTGACAAGCTTATGTTGGGCACAGTTTGGTTGACCGGTAAACACAGTGATCTCGCTCATACTCGAACCTCGTGAAAAGTTCTATACTGTGCTATAAACCTCGGGAACCAGCATCTCGACTGCAGGACAAGGTGGTTGTAACCCCCGGAGCAAATGGTATTCAACTCCAAAAGGAGATAGGCCAGGTAGGCCCATTTAGCCGTTTGTTTGACAAGAGCAATTTTACCTAATTCCAATCGTATGTTAAACATTGAAAATAGGACAATCAGTACCAAATCTGCTAATTCCGAGTCTCATAAACTGTCAATGAATAAGGGTGTTCCACAAGGATCTGTTTTAGGACCAATACTGTATCTGCGTTATATTCAAAATATCACGAAAGTTGGTTTAGCGAGTAATTATACCATATATGCAGACGATTCAGTGCTTTTATATGAAAACAAAAATCCTCTAATTTTAGAAACTGTGATAAATAACGATCTGAAATTTTTTGAAAAATGGCCCCACTCTAACCTTTTATCAATTTAAACTAGACAAACTGAATACATGATTTTTCAACAAAAAAATAAACCTAAAATTCAGCTCAATCTTCAAATAATGGATGAATTCTTGAAACAAACTGAACAGATGAAGTATTTAGGTATTTGGTTTGATGAAAAATTGAAGTGGGATAAATATATTGAGGTTCTGACAAAGAAAATATCTCCTATTATTGGTGCATTGAGAAAATGTCCCAAACTCAATATGAAAATTGCAAATATGGTACTCTATTCACATATACTAAGTCGAATCAACTGTTTAATAAATGTTTGGGGATCTTGGTCTGAAAATAATTTTAATAAAATATCAACATTATAAAGGAAATCATCAAAATATACCAAATGAACTGTATGCTTTAACAAAAACATATTCTTTAGAAGAACTGTGAAACTTTCATACAATATCATAAGTAAAAAATTGAAATTTAATATTATTTTGACAAGAAATTTTGAAGTTCATAGTCATCAAACTAGAAAATATAACTTGACCTGACTGAAATGACAATCAGAAATATTCTTCATTCTATCAGAAATAATTCATACGTAAGTCGAATCTTGTATGGTGTTCTCGGATGATCACGTCTTGATTACGTCACGAGTTTTCCGCGTTTTTCATATTACAAAATATCGTGAATTTCAATAATTATTTAAAAAATGTACAGAGCTCTGGGGGAAAACGGTAAGGGTTAGTACTTCAAAATAATGAAATAAAATTTTTCACTGAAATGCTCAATTTGATGGGAAGTAAAATGTTGAGATGTAGGTGACAAGAATAATTATTATACAGTGTGTCCCACTTACCATGCTCACCATGGGTATCTTCTTAACGGTGAGATATACGAGGTCGGTTAAATGACACCAAATGTGTAAAGATCAACTATAATGTGAAAAAATATTTTGATGAAATCTATTCGTTTTTGTTTTATACCCAAAAAACTGATTTTGATCATTTTCATGTCTCCCTCCGTAACTTCTTTATTTATGAAAATATTCAAATAGGAATTTCACATTCTAATGGCAGTTTTTCAAAGTGATTTCGAAAAAAATATGAAATTTATACCAACTCTTCTAGAATTTGAGATATCAGCACCAACTTTAGTTTTTCAAATGTAGGTCATAGCTCACTATGACTTAGTTACAAATAACTTCTTTTTCTCTTACAGATGATATGTCGCAGTAATAGTTTTGTGTTGATAACAACGGAGTTATCGTCATTTATACCAAAACAAAAAATTATTTGGAAGCCGCTATCTTGAATTTATGAATTTTAACAAAAAAACCATGATCTCCGACCTCAAAAACCCCCACTTACCAATTTTGAATGGAATCGGACCAAATCTTGTCCGCCATCTTGGAGCAGCCATGTTTTTTAATTTCAACAAAAATTCCAAAATGTATTGTCACCGAAATTCTGAACACCTGCCAAATTTCAAGTTGATCGGAGTTTTTGTTGAAATTAAGAAAAATGGCTGCTCCAAGATGGCGGACAAGATTTGGTTCGATTCCATTAAAAATTGGTAAGGAGATCATGATTTTCTTGTTAAAATCTATAAATTCAAGATGGCGACTTCCAAATAATTTTTTGTTTTTGTATAAATGACAATAACTCCGTTGTTATCAACACAAAACTATTACTGCGACATATCATCTGTAAGAGAAAAAAAAGTTATTTGTAACTAAGTCATAGTGAGCTACGACGTACATTTGAAAAACTAAAGTTGGTGCTGATATCTCAAATTCTAGAAGAGTTGGTATAAATTTCATATTTTTTTCGAAATCACTTTGAAAAACTGTCATGAGAATGTGAAATTCCTATTTGAATATTTTCATAAATAAAGAAGTTACGGAGGATACATGAAAATGATCAAAATCTGTTTTTTGCCTATAAAACAAAAACGAATAGATTTTGTCAAAATATTTTTCCACATTATAGTTGGCCTTGACAAACTCCACATTTGGTGTCATTTAACCGACCTCGTATCTCTCACTGATAACAAGATACCCATGGTGAGCATGGTAAGTGGGACACACTGTATATTCACTTGCTTTATTGTCATAGCCACCTACTAATTAGGTCCACAGCTTTTATAGTCAATAAATAGTGCTGAATGTTGAATTTTGGTGAAATTCAAACTAGTGTGTGAAGGACCAATATGTCAGCAACAAGGTGAATATGAAAATTTACGATGTGGAAAATTTTGCCACATATCTACAAGGCCTAATAATATGAAACGGTACTAACCTTGTTATATGCATTAGAATTTATATTCCTGACTCCATTGCTGTTGTCCATGTAAGTTTTCACTTGGCTGTCGTTCGTTATAGTCGCTATAGGTCCGTGAGGACAATGTTTTCGTTTGGCGTAGTATTTTTGGGGCTTAATGAGACTAAAAAATACAAGAAACTCAGGTGGGGACACGTCATACGATCACTAGAACCATTTAAACCATGAATTTTTTCGTCGACCTCTACAAAAAATTACACATCACGTAGTAATTTTCGAATAAAAATTGACTATTTTTGAAGGCAAGTACTTTTCGTCCGCAAACACTTTTCGTCTGCTGTTGTCAAGTTGATTGTTCGAGGTCGACGAAAAAATATAAGCACCTCATCGAAAAACTGTCTATTGTCTTGCCTAATTGCTAGCCTCGGCTATCAATTTGTAGGTTCAACTATAATAGACAGTCTTTCGTCCTTCGTACATAAATAACTATTTTTCTGTGACGGGAAAAAATTTGGACATTTCATGTCTGTTGACAGGTTAAAAAATGACTCTTTTGATGAAATTACTTTTTTCCCGGATATATAGATACACTGTTGATGGTTTTTGTTGTGCCAGTTTCGAAAAATAAGCCAATAGCACCGTCTCCGAGAAAGAACTAAAAGTCCTTTTTATCTTCCACTACACATCGCGGCTACGTAAATTAAACAACCACTAAAATCACAATTTATTAAAATCATATCACAGAATCGGCGAGTGGACTATTTTCTTCAATTTCTTAAATAGAATCATCACTCAAATACCTTTCAATTCCATATTTTTTAAGAATTTTTGGTCGATTTATAGGTGCTAAAACCATCAATAATGCCACGGTGATTTTCAAACGGCTAGAAATTAACCGCCAGTATAAACTGACGTCACGAAGCCTAGAATTTTCCTGACGGTTGAATTTTCCACCTCAGCAGGGGTGAGACCTGTTCTAGGTGGTTCCCAATATTGAATCGTCGGTTTTCCAGACACAGAAAAAACAGAGTATTATACACGGGAAAAATATTAGATCTCACAATCTGGAGCCATAATCTAAAACTTTTTTCCCTGGTATAATAAATAACAATTTTTTTATAGAGTGTAATACATTTGGTTTTATTATTGTTTTACCTAGGAAACTGTGGTCCGAACTGAGCGTAACAGCAATTGTCCCAACAACCCCTGGAGAAGGGGTTGTAGCCCCCTTTGAATTTGCCTGTCACTTGTTCGTTAGTGGTGCGTCCTCTCGAGACCAGAACCATGTGAAAACCAGTCAAACCGAATATCGGTATCGACAATAAAGCTACCAAGATTATCAACACGATACTATCGATGTGTTAAGGAAAGAGAAAAAATTAGATCACAAAAGTGGTTTCACCGTTTCGGAAAACAACAGATTTATTTTTATTTTCCAAACATGCTCAGTTTGAATACTGTCTGTAGGTTATTTTATAATTCCAAATAATCAAGCAAAATGAATGTTGTTTCTTTGTAAAATCCTTTATACTCATATGATTTGCCAAAAATCGACACCATTTTAAGATATTTCTTTATTTTTGTTACCTTACTTATGGCCCAATGATATATTCATGATAGTTCACTAGATTTACAAATTATACAATAAAATCCCATTTAATACAATTCAAGTTGTTTGTTCGAAACATATGCTAGAATTGCAAAAATCTAACTAACGAAAATTCTTTCACGAGAGACTAATTGCAAAGATTACCTAATAAGAAAACAAATGATTCCAAATGAAGTTTTATTCCATTATTTTAAACTTGTAAAATTTCGAAATTTTCATTGAATTAAGGTTTTTTCCTAATATAAGGTTATTGAAATTGTTCTGATGAAAAAAAGGTGGATGATGTTCGTGAATACGGTGATTGAACGTTTAACCCATCTGACCAATATATACCTTTAGGGCAAGATGCACAGTTCAGTTTGTATAATCCTAATTTCACAAATTTTTAGGTCTTGCCTCTGAAATTAAAATAAAGTAAAAAATAATAAACACAAAAAAGTTGAAATGGAAAAAAATAAATAATACAGACAACTTTTCTAAATTCGAAAAAGGACCTATCCACCACAGGATGTTCTGAAATTTGTGAAGAAAACATGGAATTATTTTTACACACGGTACTCATAGTGAACTGAAAGTTCAACAGGTAGTAGCAAGATTCTGTCCCTAAAGCTTAAATCAATCATTCAGAAAAAATATCTTAATATGACTCTGGATTCAGGAAAAAGATTACAAAGTTATAGTGGTGGTGGGTTTAGTTTGCCATTTAGTATATTATGGAATTTTCAAGCTAGTCAATATTGTTTCGAACTGTCGCATTCATTATCTTACTGGCCCAATGATGTATTGATGAATGTTCACTAGATTTACAAATTCAAAAATTAAATCCAATTTGATACAATTCCAATTATTTATTTGAAACATGCTAGAATTGCAAAATCTTCACAAACGAAAATTCTTTCACGAGAGACTAATTGCAAAGATTACCTATTAAGAAAACAAATGATTGCAGATGAAGTTCTATTCCATTATTTTAAACGTGTAAAATTTCGAAATTTTCATTGATTCAAGGTTTTTTTACTAAAATAAGATTATTGTTCGTTGTAATTCTCATACAAAAAAACTTGAATGATGTTCGTGAATACGGTGATTGAACGTTTTACCCATCTGACCAATATATACCTTCGGGCCAGATGCACAGTTCAGTTTGAATAATCCTGAATTTTGAGAAGTTTTGCCATTTGAATTTAAATAACATAATACAGTCCATAATGATAAAAAAATGAAAAAGTAGAAATGAAATAGTTATTTTTGTATCTAGAGCGCGAAATGCGACTTTGGTGATCGAGATCTGATTTTTTTTGACGAGGCGTAGCCGAGTTAAAAAAATAGTCGAGATGACCAAAGTATTTCGCGCTCGAGTTGCAAACAAAATTTTTTCTACAAACGCCAAAAAAGATAGTTCAAAGTAAAAATATGCTTAGCTTGATATAAAAAATAGTGTTGAACTGGCTCAAAATGCCTCCCCCTATCCTCCCTAGATACGCACGATGTTCCACAAACATAATAGGAATTTTCTTTCGTGCGCTCCAAGAGATAAAACAAAATTATAGTTGAACATTCAGAAATGAATGATTTCGTGGATGTTTGCTCGATTGAGTATCGATTGAGTACCCATAAAGTAGAAATATAAATATCTCATATATTTTACCTAACAGTGCGCGAAGTAGGTACTTCGCGCACTGTTTTACTTCGCGCATTGTTTTGTGCGAGGTTTCATGGTAACGTAGGAAACTGAAAAAAAGTGTCACTTCGCAATTCGTTATCAATGCGCGAACCTTGTCATTTTTTGACGTTTGTAGAAAAAAATATATCAAACAGACAAAACTTCTAAATTATTCAAAAAATTAACTATCCACCACAGGATGTTATGAAATTTGTGAAAAAAACACGGAATTATTTTTACACCCGGAATCCATAGTAGTCAACAGGAAGTAGCATGATTTTGTCCCTAAAGCTTAGATCAATCATTCAGAAAAAAATATCTGAATCTGACTTTGGATTCAGGAAAAAAAATACAAACTTAGAGTGGGTGCAGTGTGTTCAGTTTAACATTCAGTATATTATGGAATTTTCAAGCTACATTCCAGAGAGTACCTGAAATCATGGGAAAAAATCAGTAAACACTGTATAAACAATTATTTGATTCCTATAAAAAATGTATTTGATGTCATGTTTTCAATAAAGGATACGATATAATGGGCTGAAAGTAATGTAATACATTATGGTTTATTTTGTAATGTTCCCTGTTATAAACATATACGTCAATTGTTTCTTAGGAATAATAAAGATGATGATAAAGATGATTTCAATGTACCTACATGTAGGACAAAATGTCACTGAACATATCCTTAATGAAAATGGGCAATATATTGCATAGTGGAATAATATTAATATCATAGGAAAGGAAGATAACAACCAAAAGACAAAAATTAAGAATTCCACTTGCATTATTCTGAACGGAGACAATGGCATCACTTCCTGTTCAGTCGAGTGGTCAGTTGATACAGATAGAAAATTCCAAATAATCAAGCAAAATGAATGTTGTTTCTTTGTAAATCCCTTATACTCATATGATTACCAAAAATCGACACCATTTCAAGATACTTCTTTATTTTTGTTACTCATAGTGAACTGAAATTTCAACAGGAAGTAGGAAGATTCTGTCCCTAAAACTTACATCAATCATTCAGAAAAAAATATCTTAATATGACTCTGGATTCATGAAAAAAATTACAAAGTTGTAGTGGTGGTGGGATCAGTTTTCCATTTAGTATATTATGGAATTTTCAAGCTAGTCAATATTGTTTCGAATTTTCTCATTCATTACCTTTTACTTATGGTCCAATGATGTATTGATGAATGTTCACTAGATTTACAAATTAAACAATTAAATCCAATTTGATACAATTCAAATTGTCTATTTGAAACATATGCTAGAATTGCAAAAATCTTCACAAACGAAAATACTTTCACAAGAGACTAATTGCAAAGATTACCTAATACGAAAACAATTGATCTCAAATGAGGTTCTCTTCCTTTATTTCAAACGAAATTTCGAAATTTTCATTAAAACAAGGTTTTTTCATAATATAAGGAGAGTGTGTGTTGAAATTATTCTCTTTAAAAAAAACTCAGATGATGTTCGTGTGTACGGTGATTGAACGTTTCACTCATCTGACCAATATATACCTTCGGACAAGATGCACACTTCAGTTTGAATAATCCTGAATTTTGAGAAGTTTTGCCATTTGAATTTGAATAACACAATACAGTTCATAATGATAAGAAAATGAGAAAGTAGGAATGAAAAAATATATAAAACAGGATGTCATGAAATTTGTGAGAAAAAGACGAAATTATTTTCACACCCGGTATCCATAGTGAACTGAAATGTCAACAGGAAGTAGCATGATTTTGAGAGTACCTGAAATCATGGGAACAAATCAGTAAACACTGTATAAACAATTATTTGATTCCTATAAAAAATGTATTTGATGTCATGTTTTCAATAAAGGATACGATATAATGGGCTGAGGTTTATTGTAGTCATTGCCACTCTTCAATATAAATATCAGACTTAAAGTGAATATACTAATCATGTGTATACTCAATGATATGAGGAAGAAAAAGAAGAACCTGTAATTTCTTCTACCGATACAGTTGTTGACCCACGGGCAATGATGATCGAAAGTCTGAAAAAGGTACAGAAGCATTTCCATTTTTCGAACCAAACAAATAGTACAAATAGTCCAATCAAATGGTATTTTCACTTGGAAAAAATTCAAGTAGTCGGTTTTTCTGTGGTTTCATATGTTTTTGGAGGTGCTGAATTCGAATCTGAATTTTGCAAACAAAATTTCCTGGAGCGTTTCGAGATATTCGCAAAATACAGCAAAATATTCGGACTTTTTTCGTTTTTTTGCCCGTAACTCGGAAATTATACGTTATATCGAAAAGACCGCCCTATAGAAAGTTGAAGTAGGTAAAATTTCCTGAATATAATTGTTATTGCTCATGAATGTAGGACTAACGAGTGCAAAGATAAAGCCAGTTGAAATTTTACCAAATTTGCGTACTTTTCAAAAAATAGCGTTTTTCGTCGGTTTTCGCAGATAATTCCAAATCTACGCATTCTTCGAAGAAACGAACTATATGACGAAATTTACATGAGCTCGATAGGAAATTTTATGATCTTCCAATATGTGCATGAAACTCTGTCTCTGAGTAATACGTAAAATATGAATAATCTGCGAAAACCGACGAGAAACGCTATTTTTTGAAAAGTACCCAAAGGTCAATTTTCAACTGGCTCTATCTTTGCACCCTTCAGTCCTACATTCATGAGCAAGAACAACTTTATCTAGGAAATTTTATGTACTTCAACTTTTTATAGGGCGGTCTTTTCGATATAATGTATGATTTCCGAGTTACGGCCAAAAAACCGAAAACATTTTTTTGATCGGGTCGATTCTGTTCGGATCTTGCTGAAACATTGCTAAGATAATAATATTGTTATTATCCTAACATATAACAATATTGCTATGAAGTTCTGTATTCTGTTTGCAGAGTTACTGCAAGACTGGTTATCTGTTCAAGTGATAGCGATATATTCATTACAGACAGTATTTGATAGCAATATAGTTGAAAGATTGAGAATTTTTGAGCTGACAACACTATTTTCAACTCATTGTTTAAGTGTTAGGTATCGATTTTGCCATTATTTCATGAGGAAGAAGAGTTCATGCTTCGATGATTATCTAATCTCTCAAATTAGTCAGTCCTGCACTGACATTTTACGAAATCATATTGTTCAAATCGAAAGATTTTGGATTAGCTGAATCTGGTCGTCGTTGTGCGACTGGTGCAAGTAATCAATCATGTCCCCGAAATGAGAAACAACTGTATAAAAGCCGGATGAAAATAATCGTAATTTCTTACAATATTCTAGCAAAATAGCTAGATAAACTATCCATTAGGCAACTGAAATGGTTTTTCTGGTACTTAATATGCCGAAATTGTAGTCTTATATTTCCTCTACAAATTGGAACTTCAAGAAAAGGTTTTCAATTAGTTGGTCACAGTAGTACCTATCCTATTCGTTTGTTATCACCATTCTAAGTTTTTCAATAAGTCTTCTACGAATTGAAACTTTGAGGAAAGGTTTTCGAGTAGTCAGTGACACAACTGAACTCTCATATGTTTTTAATCCACTATTTTCTGAATTTACATACAGTTGGAAGAATTTGTAGTGCAAAAACAAAGAATCCACTACCTTGTTATAAGATAGCAAGCACAAAATTATGTTGCCGAAATAGTAAGAAAGCTGACCAGATGTCATTGAAATTGACAGATCATATTGTCAAAAATCGATGATTAGAATTCCACTTTTTCGAATCTTGCTATGATAGCAATTAGAGTCACTAGATGGTATTAGTTTGATAAGAGTTCGGACACAGAAATGACAATGGTTAGGGTTTTTGAATGTTTAGATTTATAAAGTTACACACCATGCATTGTGACAAGAGCACCATAGTCGTCCCCAAGGCTATTCAACTCTATAAGGTTGCCTCATATTGAACTGCCCTGACGTCACTGTTTCCCCATCGTCTTTTGTCGAACGGCAAAATGAAAATGGCGGAGGTGAAAAACAAAACAAAAAAATTTAGCATTGTGCAATCAAGTGAATATTGATAAATTTTGAAGTTTTCCAATATGTTTTTGTGTCCAAGAGATTGTTCACTGTTTTCCCAAAACATGCAGCAAGTACAAAAGACTGAAGACAGAAATCTAGAAAGATCTGTTCCTCAGTGCTCCTGTTGTACAGACACATTACAGAAACTCAGTCAAATTCTTATTGCAATACTTGCATTAGGACTGATTACTGTTGGCATTAATAAGGATATGGAGGTTGAACTACTGATAAAGCATTTTTTAATAAAGAAAATGTTATTGGGAAGTCTGAACCTAATGATGAAATCATGGTGGATAAGGGCATGCTGACAAGGGATGTGAAGAAATATCTTGAAATTGATTAGGCCATCGTTTCTGAGAAACAAGAAACAATTAACTAAAGAGGATTTCCTTCTGGATAAATTGAATGATTGTAACTCACTGGTTTTATTTCAGTATCAATTTGGAACATATTATTGTTTGAAAATGCAATAATAAGAAAATGAATTAATAAAGAAGTCATCACAATTCATTCCATTTTATTAATGCAATAAAAGTGCAACATAATGGAAATATCTTTGAGATATCTTCCTCATAACATTAACACAAAATGTATCACAAAAAAACTGGAATCTTTATGTAAGTTTTGGAGGAAGAAGAATCATACAAGAAAATTAGTTTCTTTCAAGTTCATTAGGGACATTTTAGGGCCATTATTCCCAACTGAATTTATCCATAATAAGTGTGTCTCTCTTCCAACTTCACATTTTTTATACCATCTCCTATCAAGAAATGGCATTGTTCCACAAAATGTTCTGAACCTTTACCTAAAATTTTGAGAAAATAATTCAAGCTGAATGTAATACACATTATTTAACAAACCTCTATGTAAGGACCTCAGTAAGGACACTTATTTCAATTATTTCCATGGTCTTCCTTCCTGAAAAATAATTTCATATTGAGAAAATCCTAACCATGGAAAATATTGGGACACAAATTAGTTTGCATGATTTGAAATTCAATATCATTTTCAATGAACATTTTGAAAGAGCTTTGGATTCATATTCAACTCCATGCTGAACAAATTTATTTGAAAAATCCTTTGGAAAGAAGAAGTTGATTGCCTTTTTTCCCAAGACAAGAAAAATGAAGTAGCAAGTATAAGTAAAATTTAATAAACTCACCAGTGTTCCTGAGTACCATGCAATAGCTAGTTGTTCACATTGAGTTCATTGGCTTCCAAACAAAAAACAAAATAGACTGATATACCCTGTAAAATTAACTTCAATTATATAAAGGAAGAATGATTTTAGGGGGTCACTTTCCTTCTATTGAAATGGCGAGTGAAATGGTTTGGCTGTATAATAGATCATTGATTGATCTACTCTCTTTTTTCAATTTTCACCACTTCTGTTTGTTATATATGCAGCTTCACATATTCCAAGTCTTCATTCCTGAAATTTCATGTATTTTTTACCTGTGTGTGTGATAGATCAAAAGTGCACCTTCCTACCTGTCAATATAAGTCCCTATAAAATGTGTATACAAAACCATGACATGCCTGCTTCACAGGGACATTCACATTGCCACAGCTCATCATTTTCCTTTGGAATTATCTGAATCTCATGTGGAGGCTGCCAAACAGGCATTTCATAACATTTGTTTGTTCTATATCCACTCTTGACTCCACACAATAATATTATGATATTTATGATGTGACCAGCCTTGAATAATACTACACCATATTATTATACAACCTCTCACACTCTTTCAAAGATATCTTCAGTCTTCTTGTCACCTTGTTTTCAACTAAAGTCTAAAATTCGCGATTCTTCCGAATTCAAATTCAAAATTTTTTCCAATTCATTTGACAGTGACACAAACGAAATCAACAATCACGTGGTGGGGAAACACTGACGTCACGCCCCTCCGCGCACCCCCGCACCATAATGCTATACTATGAGGTAACCTTATAGAAGTTAATAGACCTTGAGTCGTCCCGCGCTTTTTCATTAAACATTTTTTGAATTTGACAATTCATTTTATAAACGTCAGAATTGAAATAAAATTTCATAATTATTATACTTTCGAGATGAAAGCAGCTATGGAAATCACTTGTTGTATAATAAATTGTGCCAATTTTGAAACAAATGGATATCATTTATTCGATTTTCCAATTCAAATATCAAGCATTCGCTTATGGAAGGAAGAAATGAAAACGGCCTGGGTGGAAAATCAATTTGAAGACGAGCGAAATTTGTGAGGTACTCATTGAAATTCACTTCTTATAACAGCATCTGATTAGAATGAATCTATATTTTAGGCCCATTTTCAAACAGAAGATTTCAAAATCTGTTTGAGCTAGAGAATCTGCTGTTCCATCAATTTACAAAGCAGACGATTTCAAGAACAAAATTCCATTATTTTCATCACACAAAATACAAAACAAAATAATCATGGAAGAAGGAGAAATGCTCGCAAAATTACCGCATGACATTGAAAATTTGAAAACGAAACTGAGAAAAGCAAGTAAACTACAACGTGATATATTAATGAATGGCGTTTTCGGTGCTGACCGCGAATTCAAAATTCAACAGTGAAAAGTGAATAGATATTTATGTATCAAGGGAATTATTATAAGGGCCTTAATTACGCGCGCTGGAGGTTATCGTTTTGGAGATATTATCTATATCGATCCATGTTACTTAGCTCTTAGGGCGCTAAGTGAAGTTGCTGAGAACTAACAAAACCAAGTATTTGGTAGGTCTCGTCAAAATAAATTACTTTTTCCCCATGAAATCTTAATCGAAAAATGATTTATTGTTCTGTATTTCAACACCATGTATCTCAGAAATGAAGCATTTCCAGACACAAGCTTATATATAGACTTTATTTCTTAAAATTGTCTCAGGAATACTTCACTGGAGTACAGTTTCACATACAATAAGGAATTATAGCTATAAATTTATCCATATGTATATATTCTCTGATATTAAAATGTTGTTACATGCATTTTTTTTTT